AGATCTCAAACATTATTCTTGCTGTCCAGCAGCAAAGCCATTTACTTCCACCTAGCTTTGCTTCTTCAAATATAAGGAAGAAATGTAAACTTTGTACTCCAGGTAAGTAAAAAACCTACTCCAAACTATTTTCCCTCATTAATTTCATTGAAAGAAACAGCACCAAAAGATTTTTCATATCACTCAAAATCACAAATCCCCTTTGTTTACTATCACCCCCACCAATCAATATAAAGTAACTTGTATACTTTCGAAGAGGGAAAAGAAAAAAGAGATGCAAGAATATCTATCTCACCATATTGAGCTGAGAGTCATAATCTGCTTCATCATGGGGCCCCTGCATCCTAACCACTTAAGACTGGAGTAATCTGAAAGCAAGTAATGATTACAGTCAGTGGAGGCATTCTACCATTGTCATAAGCCATATGACAAAAAACTAACATGGACGAAATTTGATGTACACACATCAGTTAAATCTCTTTCAATGTGATCTCGTAAATCTATCTTTGTAAATATATCTAGTTATGAAGAAATCAAAACCCAGTGGTTTTTTTGTATTTAATTTAGATGGATATCTACATATAGAACATCTTGAGGATTTTCCTTTACAAATAAAACATTCCAAAGGTTTAAAAGTGTAACCAGAATAGCAATTATCACATTTTCTTGAATTTTTCGTCAATTTAAAGAAATAAATAAACCAAAACATGGAAGGGCTTCTGAATCTGCTTAGTAGTAAAGTGAAGAGAATTCACCTATTCATTACATCAATCATTTCGTTTACTTGCTTTTTTAAGCTACCAACAAACAGTAAATTAATAAAAATAAATAAAATCTGATTGCCAATCTTGCTTTTCCAATTATCATATATGTTAGAAAATCAAATTAGGTCCAAATATAAATTAAATCCTAGGATCAACATCATGCTAAATTACTAGGATTCACAGATTCAGATAATATACCTGTATCCATTGTAAACGATTGCCTATTGTTGCGGAATTACTGCAACAATCGACTACGTACCGATGAATGCAAATGAAGAGGGTGGTTTTGTGATCTTCTTCAACCAAATATCCTTATTCCTCAATGGGACCGTGATTTCTCTTCTTGATGGGGAGAAGGGAAAAGAGTGTATGATTTGGTATATTGGGGACCATAACCAAAATAACCTTTATATATTACTTAATTAAGGTTCCCATTATCCCTTAATTAGAGTAATATTAGCCGGTATCTACTCACTTAGTCCATATTAATTTGAGTAGTCTATGGGCATACAAAAAA